TAATTTTAAAACACACACGTCATTTTAAGACACATCATTTTTAATTCACACGTCATTTTTAAAACACACGTTTTTTAAATCACCCACGCCATTTAATATACACACGTGATTTGTTAAAGCACATACCATTAAAACGCACAGTCACGCCGTTTTTTTTAAAATGCACACATCATTTTAAAACACACACGCCACGGCCTCCAATACGTACGTAATTTTGAATTATTAGCACGTTTTCTTCTAGTATACACAAAATAATAAATTTACATTCCGCGCCTTGTACACGCCACAGCCTCTAATACTTACGTAATTTTGAATTATTATATGAAGCGACAATCGCGGTGTATTTATACTAGGGCAAATTTTATTTTACGAAAATTTATAAAAAGTTCAGAGTACGTTAAGTGTTTGTTATTTAGAACGTATTTATACAGTATATATTGTTTGAATGTTTGGTGTGATTATCGTACACAAATTGTGAATACTGTGCGAGTGGCTTATAATAACGCTATAAGATTGGTCTTTAGCCTTAAACGGGCTAGCAGCGCCAGTGGTAATTGCGTGAATAGAAATATTTTCAACTTTGAATCTCTTCAGCGCAAGGCATTATATGACTTCAGTCAGCGCCTACGTACGAGCGATAATGCTTTAATTCGTACTTGTGTCAACTCTGACAGTTTTTTCTTATCCAAATTTTGGACTAATCTTAGACGTTGTATTTATTAGTGTTCGTGTTTGTTATGTATTTAATATGGGACTTTTTTGGCCTCAAATAAAGGATTAATAATAATAATAATTAGTACGTTTTCTTCTAGTATACACAAAATAATAAATTTACATTCCGCGCCTCGTAATGAATGATGTTTTTTATTATTCAGGCGATTTGGGGGATTTATTTAAAATTTCAGTAAAGAATACTGAAATCGTTGTCCCTCTTTCCAGATACTGGTCCTGCTTCCTGCAATTCTCACTGCTCCTGGGTCGCAACTCTAACAAAGGCCAGGGAACAAAGGCCTGTAAATCATTTGTTGTAATGAAAGGTCAAGGGGTCAAACAAATGCAACGTTAGGAAATCTAGGACGAGGCTGAAAACCGGAAGTGACATTTTATAACAAAGTCTTCAATGACACGCAGCAGATGGGATCCTGTGGACGGTGCAGTGTTGGAGGGGTGAAACGTCGTGGACATCATATTTTCAGAATTGTTCTTAAAATGGATAAAGTAACTATCCCTGCGTTTGAGCGGAACATGGAGTGTTGTTGATGCAGCTCGCATGACGCCGCTGACGAGTTGGCGACAAGGGATAGGAAGGGAGCTCTAAAGAAAAGGCGATACAGTCCTGTGGCGGTACCATACGTAGGACTACGAAGCCCATCTATACGTGCAAAAGATATCATAATGCTTTCAATGATTTAAGTACAATGAGTATTGTTGAGAAAAGGATGTGACACATGTGGAATAAAAACAGTACCACCGGCACCGTGACTGATCCGAAACTCTGAGTCTCTGTACCTCAAGTGGCCCACGTCGTGCCATCTGTAGAACTTGTTCGCGTATGTTATACCCACAACTTTGTATTTGTTTAATCGTGTAAGTAATACATGTACACTTTATAATATGGCATGGTCAATATTTTGAAATCATGAGGATGGGGGTGGTTGGAAGTTTTTTTCTAATTAATTTTCTTGAATGTGTCATTTTGTTTCTGCATCACCTTGTATGAATTTTTTCCTCTCGGTGTCAGATTGCAATTTTTATTTAAATACATCTTCCAACCGTTCCCTTGATTTCAAACTTCTGACCCATTATTTATTGCGTGAATGCATTGACGTTAGGGAATTTTACTGGAATAATTCATTATCAACTATACTTTCAAATATAATTGCACACAAATTTCATCTCATACCTCTACTTCCATGCTCATACAAATATGTAAGCTATACTCTCAACGGAACAATGGCATTCCCTTATTATTTTTTTATAAATTGCACAATTTGCTAATTCGTTTCAACAACCATTGAAATTTATAAATGTTTATAAAGATGAGGGAATGCACAAGTTTGGCATCCAATCATCACTTATGCCACAGTTCCGCTATCTTCCACAATGCGGCGATCATCTGATTGAAACCCACACTAACTGCATAAGTGCAAATCTGCATGCTGGAATTTTTGTGCAGGGAATATTTCATATAATTTAAACTATAATATTATGCAGTATATTCTTGCGTGAAGTATTAAACAAAAAAATTGCTTTTCAAATTTGGATCCTCTTCTTAGGATGTTGCAATGACCATAGGGATAAAGTATATAGAAAATGAAATGTCTTGTCGTTGCTTTCACACTGCAGTATATTTTATTGCAAATCATTATGCTATATTTCATTTACCAATTCACTGGTCATCGAAAATGACAATTTCTCTGTGTTTTCGATAAAGAGTCACACTGACTTTTGTGACGTTTAGGTCACACTATTGAATGCTATCAAACTATTGGATTGTTTCTGGAAAAAAAATGTTTATATTATAGAGCGGTTTTCATCACACAGCACATGTTAGTTTTGTGCAAACAAAGAATGCAGTTTACACATGTTGTATATGTCACATGGGACCCATATTAATAAGTATGACACACCACAATCACCAACATCATTTTTAATCAAATAATATTGAGTTTTGCAATTTACCTGGTAATATCATATATCAATAGGTGTAATGTGGACAGGAAAGGAACTCATGGCACGTCTATCAATTACAAGAACTTTACTATTCATGGTTGCCGTGTCATTCCTTACCACTGTATACATTATGGTGTCTTACAATAACTGTGAATGTGCATTCCCAAGCTATAAATTACCAGCGCCAGGAACATACAGACGAGACGACCATGAAGACAATCCTTTGCCTAATATCGTAAAACCAGGTGATGAAATCCCAATTGATAATAATAATAATAATAATCATGATGATATAGGACATGATAGAAATTATCGAGAGGATGATCATGATGATGACGAAGATGGAGGTGATGATGGAGACGATATGGAATATAAAACTAAGCACAAATTGGGAATTATAGTGCCGTTTAGAGACAGACTTGAAGAACTTCTTGAATTTGTTCCGTATATGCATGAATTCTTGGCACAACAAAATGTCCAGTATCATATTTATGTTATCCATCAAGTTGATTCACACAGGTAGGTAACCATTTTTAACTAACTCTACATTATATACAGATAGAGGCTACATGTATATTTACACAGAAACCTACAGTTTCCTGAATATACCAGAATCCATACTAGTGTACCATATTTGCTCTATTAGAAGTGCATCCGCAATAGATAAAACGAAAAATTGCATTTGTTTTAAACTGACTTATTTTCCCCAATTGAAACACTTGTAATGTATGTATGGACAAGGCCAATACGGTAGTATTTTATATATATATATATATATCCTCTATTAGAAATTCATATACATGTACATGTAAACGAAAACATTTTAACTTGTTAATATGACTTATTTTGACCATAGGCATTCCTTTATTTACGCGAGCTCATGTGATACTATATGACACATTATTTTTGCTATTTTATTTACAACCTTAATATATTCAAAGTATTTTCTATCTTTGTCTGCAACAAATTATAATCATTGAGTAAAACATTTTTTTTTACATATTTACTACCTGAAAATTGAAATAATTTCATTAACAATTCTAAAAAATGTCAATTTTAATGTAATTCTCTATGTGCTACTTAACCATATGTTTGTTTGTTTGGTAAGTAACTACTTTTGTAATCGTAAATAAAACCAGGCGGTTTATGGGTTTATGAGTGACAACCATATGGAACAGTGTTTATATTTATGGTTGTTTTTAATTAAATTTTTTGGAGGCATTATTGTGAAATTAATTTTTTATCTTATTTTAATAACATAAAAACCGAATTTATAGCTAACATTGAATTGTTTCGATTGGTAACCTATTTGGGTCATACTTAATCTGAGACATATTGGTAATACTTCTCATTGCCATTTTGGGGTCCTACTACTTAACACGCAGACACGCGAGGGAGTGTCCGGGCACACGCGGAAATGAACAGGGGGAATACCTAACGCGCGGGGCAGCGGCAGCAATCCTTGTACTGTATAATATTCGTTTATGCTCAAAAATTTAACCAGAGTGGCGAATTCGAGCAGCTATCCACACTTTTTATGATCGACGCCCGGGCATTCCGGTGAGTCGAGTCCGCCATGTTGTTTACTAATTTTGGTTAGGACAATACCATTCTATCCATGGGGGTGACTGTTACAGTCCTACGAATGTGTCGACATTGTAGGAGGACAAGGACAGGACAAGTTTGTGCAAGTGTGGCGAGACTCCCGTAGTTATGCGGAAATTATTTACCTCATGTAAAAAAAAGCATCGTTTCTCATTGTTGTGCTATATTGTATCGTATCATGGATCTAGGTAGTCCTGCGTACAGTCTATGGAGGTACGCTGGGCTGTGGTGGGGTTGTCTATCAACCAAACGCCCCCCTGTACACACAGCACTGTATGCAGGGCTAGCATCCAAGAGCTTCGTGGTTGTGTAGTAAAAATAATGTTACAATGTGAAAACAGACAACCACTCAGCCATAATACGTATCGAGACAAAACATAATTTGTCGATAATCGAGTGTTGCCTAGAAAAGTGAGATTGTTGCAAAATGTAGCAAATCGTTTTCAAACAGTGCCGCTAAGAAAGTCTCGCTATATTGCAACGTTCAGTAAGACTTGAATCTTGTTTGCGCCCACTGTAAA